TGTTAAGTAGTGCTGAACTTGTGTGTATTTTTTTCAGCACAAGAATCCTAGTTGAATGCTTAATGCTGATAAGAATCAATGGAATTATTTCAACTACCTTATCTTATCTACCAAATCTACCCTTATTTATTACTTATGTTTAAAATTTTTATATAATTAAACAACCTAATATTCTCTATCTAATGATTTTCTATTTCTCTTTTCTCCCTTTTAAATGACTTTCACTTCTTCTCCATACTCCTTATATAATATAATGTATCTTTTATATTAATTTGATTAAAAATAAATATTATCATTTTCATACCTAACATTTTTAGCTAATTAAATCATAGGTTCTATTTCTTTTTTGAATGAAAAGATATAAGTGCAAAATTGTCAAATTTAACTTATTAAGCATTCAGTTATAAATGTTTATCAAACAGTGTAAATAAGTTTAGTATTAAAATTCAGACATTCATATATTTCTTTTCAGTACTTAAAATTCAATAAATTAATTGTTTCAATATTTAGATTTCAGAATTCAGATTCAGTATTATCAAACGAACCTAAGTACGGGAGCCGTGCACTTTTGGGATTTGCTAATGGCTTCCAAAATTTATATTCCCCTACTTGCATGGAAATGGAATTCAGGCAGTACGTAATTGCGATCACGCTGGCACAACAGGTGCCGAAAATTTTGCTGTTTGAATACAATACCGGGAAACGACAATAATACATCAGCCAGACCAAAACTTAATTTGCGAGATTAGCGTTATGTATTGTACAATAATGTTGATTGCTCTCTTCCATTACCTGCACCAGATGGATCGTTTATCCTTCTATCCCGACCAGAGACCAGGGCTATTCGATTATGTTGGCTTACAACTATGTGAAAAACAACAGTTGTTGTGTCACCCAAATAAAACCTTCCATTTTTGTACTGTATAAATCTTGCAGGAAATCCTCTCCAAATTTCCAAAGATCTAACTATCTCTGCTTTCTGGTTTCTAGCCAAACAAATCTGATTTCTGTGTCTTCCTCTCTCTGAATATGAAGAGTGTAAATGTTGTATTAGTGCTGCTCTGCGCCATCTTGCCTGTTGCATTATCTTTCATTGATGGTAAGCTCTCCGCAAATTCACTGCTAATTTGCTTGCATTTTCTTCTTAAGCACTATGGATTCACGCATTTCACGTTGAAAAACTACAAGAGACAAAATTATTAGCTCTATCATTAATAGTTGGCATGGATGCCACTGATGCATGATTTGTTCTAATTTTACTTGGGCAAATGCGCAGGTACTACAGTAATGCATTTCATGAGCCATACAAATATGATACATTGTTGTAAATTCTTTTGGTATTGATGAATTTCCAGGATTAGTCCCAAATGGAGACTTTGAGGAGGGCCCAAAACCATGGCAAATGCATGGAACTGAGGTGGTGGATCCCCACTCAGTACCACATTGGGAACTTTCCGGGTTCGTGGAGTACATCAAATCAGGGCAGAAGCAAGGTGACATGATACTTCCAGTGCCTAAAGGGCATTTTGCACTCAGGCTTGGAAATGAGGCATCAATTAAGACTAAGGTTCAAGTCGCCAAAGGACTGTTTTATTCTCTTTCTTTTGGTGCTGCCCGAACTTGCGCGCAACAGGAGCAACTCAATCTATCTGTATCACCAAATTCGGAGCCAAAGGATTGGGGAATGTTGCCTATGCAAACCATGTACAGCACTGAAGGATGGGACTCATTTTCATGGGGATTTTTGGCCGAATCTAATGAAGTTGAGGTAATCTTCCATCATCCCCAAACGCAGAAGGACCAAGCTTGCGGCCCAATAATCGACGTGGTGGCTCTCAAGTCCTTCACTCTCCCAAAAAAATCAAGAGGTGACTTACTAGCTGCTATTGTAGTTACTAGTCCAAAAGAAGAAATTCTATTTGTGGCCTTCCATCTTCAGATGGAACTATTGAGTCCAACAGACGATCGATTCAATTTTTGCATCTCACGCATGTCATATTTTTCAAAAAGTAAAGTATATCACTGAAATGCTGTATTACTTCCCCTGTATATACTACATTGGCAAATGGCTTAGTGAATACCGAGAAATATGCATCGAGTCTCAGTCACAGATACGAAAAATTGCTCACTTCTTCTTCTAACTGACAAGTGTTCTGTGGGCAAGTGTTAATGCAGACATATTGCAGAATGGAAATTTTGAAGAAGGTCCCTATGTGCTCCCAAACACCTCCTGGGGTATCTTAATTCCTCCTAACGTCGAAGATGATCATTCTGCATTGGTGGGATGGATGGTTGAATCCCTGAAAGCCGTAAGATACATAGACTCCGACCACTTTGCAGTTCCAGAGGGCAAAAGAGCAGTAGAGCTGGTGGCCGGAAGAGAAAGCGCTGTGGCACAAGTTGTCAAAACTGTACCTGGCAAAGACTATGACCTTGAATTCTACGTGGGCGATGCTAGAAATATGTGTGAAGGATCAATGCTAGTAGAAGTGAACGCCAGCAATTCTACTTTTTACGTCCCTTATGAATCTAAGGGGAAAGGTGGATCCAAACTCGCGCTGCTTCGACTCAAAGCAGAGACTGGACGCACGAGGATCAGGTTTCTGAGCTCATATTATCACATGAAGAGTGATTTTTCTGGCTCCTTGTGTGGGCCGGTGGTGGATGGTGTGAGATTAGTCAGGGTTCCACATGCATGATCAGGATTCTTGATCATAAACACACATTCATATATATGTTTTACTATTGTTTTCTCTGATCGATGGAAATTTAATAAAAATGATAGCCTAGCTTGTGATTTCTGATCGATGCTGGGACAGGGGGAAAGACGCGCACACATGCACGAAGAGAAAACAGATATTAATATGGCTAACTTTGCAGCTGTACGTCTGTCTCAAGAGATGCTTTCGTTTCTCTATTTAACTATAGCCGGATGCTGCAATTAGTGCAATAATATTAAGTTGCGTTTGAATTGAGAAATTTGACGAAAAGTTTGAAATTCTTTTAAAAATTTATAGTTATTTAGATTATTTAAGAGGTATTTAAATTTATAAATCACCAATTATTCTAGCATTTAAAATATAGATATTTCAATAATTAATGAATTACATACCCAAATACCTTCTCAAGCAAGTGATCTGGATGAATTTCAAATCTTTCATTAAAATTTTCAATTCAAACGAAACCTTACATTATCATTCGTTCAGTAAAAATCCACTTTTCACGAGTATAAAAGAACATCCAAAATCAGCCAGTAATTTACCGCAAATTCTAATTTGAATCAAGGCCGGAAATCATCATGACAACATGCTTGGCCTTTTTACAAGATACAAGATTGGATTAGTCCCCTAATAGACTACAAAATTGATCCTTTGTCATGTCAACTATATATGTAAAAGGGAAAAAGGATTCGGCAAGAAATGTTACTCCACGAACAGCCAACTCTCCACATAAATCATGGTCTCGTAAGAGCCAAAAACATAGTAGTTCGCTAGTGATTAACAAATCCCCTGTTTAGCTTTGTAATCATCAAATGACATCTTTCTTTTCTCATTTATATATTAAGCATAATCACGTACGAAATACATAGGAGGATAGATGATATGGGCAGCGGATGCAGAAAATCCAATTGATTGCTAAAAGAAAACTTGGAAGCATATATACAAGTACAACCAATTCAATTGATTGCTTGCTTGCACCATTTAGATGGAGTAATAGCTCAACCGCCACCTCATTCCTTGTCGATTCACTTATTGTTGCACATGCCTTCTGGTAAAAATTAGAGAATTATTGCCGACCAAAAAAGTGCAAAAGGGTGGAGGTGAGAGAAGAAGGAAAAAAAATAGTAGTAGTAAAAGGGCTAATTAGGATGCTAATTGAGACACGAAATTAAGACAGTTCTCACTCAAAAGCTTTAGGTGCACATGGTCTGCCCCGTATCAGATCTTGAATGTCCCCATTTCCCAACTCTAAATTGAAAATTATGGTCTTCTTCTTCTTCTGCTGACACATTGGCACATACCCTCATGCAATCACTAAATTAATGGCATGCCTAATTAACCATACATATCTCAAGATTCCACGCAGTATATTTTGGTCATGAAGTCCAAGGTCTTGTGTTCTTGGACTGCAATTCAGTTGCCTTCCCAGAAGCTCAACCCATACGTACATTATCTATCTATTGCACCAGATCCATGTGCCTGGGACTTAGACAAATTTGAGGTTTATGTACAAATTTCAATTGTCTTATGTCATGATCAATGGCAGGCGAGAAAAGTTTGCATGGTATTCTCCTATTCACTGAGCAAAATGTTTCTTTTTTCAGAATTGTGAGATTGCAGGTTCAGGTTGAACTAGGTGAGAAGAAAGGGCTTTACATGAATGCTATCAGAAAATGAGAGCTCAAAGGTAGAGTTTTATGAGGAATGATTAATGGGGAGCGGTATAATTTATAAATCTGAAGGTAGTGCGTTGTACTTAATCTCCTGATGAATCAAAGGGGATTAAGCGCTTGAAGTAAATGCAAATATGACATTTATAAGTAAAAATGCACCGTGAATTAAAATTGGTTAATCAATGGTATGATTAAGTTGCTCTCTGACCGATGGGATGACAGCTTCTTGGGAATAGCATGCCTTTCTAAAATAATGGATTATGTTCAACCCACCCCATGATACGTTTAATCAATTTTGCAGAGACCGGATTATGGTTCAACCCATTTGATTAATAGTTGCAGTAAAATATTCCTTCGGATCCCTTGTATTGTGGAAATTATTCTCATTCACTCGTATAGAAAAGAAAACAAAGCCAGGAAAATTAAATATAACCAAGCCAGGAATCTCAGATGACCACCAAAATGAAAAGGTAAAAAGAATATAAAATTTTTTAAGAGACAGTGTCGTTTGTCAGGTTTACAAATTTGCATGTTATCATCTATCTCTTCAAGCCTAACTGCACATGTGGGTTGCTTTTATTTGGATTCTTGGATGGTGCAGGTGATATCTTAACCTTCAAAAGTTTTGAATGGTGGAAAAACCTGTCTTTCACTCTATAAGTATGTTCATTCTTGAAAGCTGAAATGCATATAGCCCCTTGCAGCCTCCCAGATTTTGATCCAAAACCTCTCTCTCTCTCTCTCACACACACGCATTAAACATGAAGACAGTAAGCCTACTGTTAGTGCTACTTTGCGCAAGCTTCCATCTTGCTTTGTCAGTATTTGTAGACGGTATGCTTTCCGAAACCATTTCTTGATCATGACTTCACCGTAAATGATCAATGTTTTCAAGGAATTGTTTATCATGAATCTAACATTGTAAAGTACTATTATTCTGTACAACGTGAAACTTAATTTTTGGTAAAATTTTGATGGGAAGTGTTCTGCTCATGGTGTTACTTGAATTTTCAGGACTTTTGCCCAATGGCAACTTTGAGTACGGCCCGAAACCATGGCAGATGAAGGGTAGTAGAGTGATAGATCCCCACTCAATACCACATTGGGAAATCTGGGGTTTCGTTGAGTACATAGAATCCGGTCAGAAGCAAGGAGACATGCTCCTGGTAGTCCCCGAAGGCAGGTACGCGGTGAGGCTGGGGGATGAAGCTTCAATTAAGACCAAAGTTAAGGTTGAAAAGGATTTGTTTTACTCGCTCTCGTTCAGTGCTGCTCGAACTTGTGCACAAGATGAAGTATTGAACCTATCGGTTTCGCCCAACAAAGAGCCCAACGATTGGGGAATGCTTCCGATGCAAACCATGTACAGCAGCGATGGATGGGACTCTTACTCCTGGGGATTCCTAGCTGACTCCGACGTGATTGAGATTTCCATCCATAACCCAGGAAGGGAAAAAGACGCTGCTTGTGGCCCTCTTATCGATTCTGTTGCCCTCAAGGCTTTGCGTAGGCCTCTAAAAACAAGAGGTCATTTCTCTCCACCAAACACACACACACACACACACACTCTCTCTCTCTCTCTTGCATCTGGTCCAATTGTTTAGTTTGGTAGATGACTAGGGAGGGTTTATAAATTATAATTGGACCAGGGATTTTCCTATTACCTAATCAATGTCTCTATCTGCTAATGTGGGTTTAGGTGACTATTGGGGGCTAATTATCTATGTAGTTTAGAAATTTGAAGTGAATTAATTTATATTGACATCTTATTTACCATAAAACTTAAAAAAAAAGTGTGAAGTGAATCACATCCATTAGTAGCAACCGGTGAACCTCAGTAATTGTTCGGACCCTCAATCCGTTAAAGAAGTCCATAAATTCTGAAGGCCCATTTCTCAGGATCGATGTTACTTCCTAATATCTCCACAAAAAGAGCAATAAATTCTATGGTATATGCACGTTTAAGGGGGACGATAAACATGTCTAATCAAATCTAACACTTTATTGTTCACACTTGTTTAATAATTTTATCGAGTTTGAAATTATATTTAAATTTGATTTGTTTATCGATCGAATCAATTCAAACAATCTTTTATTTAGTCTAAACTCGAGTAACTTGAGTTTTTTTAGTCATAAATTTAAATGTTATGCTAATTGACAGCCGAACTTGAAACTTAATTGATTCCAAAATACTTGTTTGAGTTTAATTTAATTAGTGGCGAACTAAACTCGAACAAGCTTTTACTGAGTCGAACTCACTGAGTACTTTTGTTTGTCTTTCAACCAAACTGCCGCTTGCGGCCTTTCTCACAAATCATTAGAAGGAAAATCATTACAACCATGATGACTGGATCACAACAAGAAGTTTCTTACCAGATTCTAGCTCATCCATTCCTTTGCTAATTCAAATTCTGTATTCAATCCATGTTATTCTATCAATGTGCCTCCTGCTCTTCAATATGAACCCACATATCTTGGTTCATTGATGCAATGCAGGAAATCTGTTGAAGAATGGAAATTTTGAAGAAGGTCCATATATCTTCCCCAACACAGCATGGGGAGCTCTAATTCCTCCCAACATCGAGGACGACCATTCACCATTGCCCGGCTGGATAATCGAATCCCTCAAAGCCGTAAAGTACGTAGATTCAGAACATTTCAGCGTCCCAGAGGGAAAACGAGCTGTAGAACTCATAGCAGGAAGGGAAAGCGCTATTGCCCAGATAGTGAAGACCATCCCAGGCTGGTGGTACGATCTAGTTTTCTCAGTGGGCGATGCCAAGAATGGGTGTGAAGGATCTATGCTAATAGAGGCGTCTGCTGGGACGGTCACTCTTCAGGTGCCCTACCAGTCCTCTGGTAAGGGGCAGTTCATCCGAGCCACCCATCGATTTAGAGCAGTTTCAAGGCGCACAAGAGTCAGGTTTTTGAGCAGTAACTATCATATGAGGAGTGACAATACTGGAACATTATGCGGTCCTGTGATTGATGATGTTCGGTTGTATAGTCTTCGTAAACTACGTATGTGAAGCGATTCAGCCACATATACTCTCAAGCGTCAGAATTTACAAATCCTCGAGTTTACTCTCTCGCAAAGTCATGAATCGTGATCATCAATAGCTTATGAAGGAAATCTATTGTCTTGTTATTGTGCTGGGGTGGGTGATTTTTTATTTTTTTTCCTTTTTCCCTAAGATTACTATTACTACTACTACAGAAACAATTCAAACAGAGAAGAGAGCTTTTAAGTTGCTATATTACAGCATTGGTCAATATAATATCATACTCCAGATTTTAGTTAAGGGACATCTTATCGTACATGGCGATGCTTAATTGCTTCTTGCTCCACACGGGTTTATTTGGATAGAGTATTATTTGAAATATTATTATTATTATTATTATTTTTAGCTTAACGGCACATCTAACCTAGCCTAGCCTAACCTACTCCTACTCCTAAGGGGAGGGGAAACCTACTCTATGGGGTGGCCCAACTGAGCCGGGGGGAACCTGATGGGGACTGAACCACCATCAGACCAGACGGGTGCACCACACACCCGTATGGATTTAGAACAAACCTCATATTGAGGGACATTGATGGGAGGCAAGGTTTGAAATATTATTTGGAATAATTACTGTAACACTTTTTGTGATGTGATGTATGTGAGATAAAAAGGTAATTGGGAATATAAAAAGTTGAGTTGGAAAATGTGTTTATGATGAAAGCGAAATATTATTTGAGATATTTGTGTTATTCAAACACTATTGGAATTACAATGACACTCAATTTCAATAAACCCCTCGAAAAGTACACTCTTCTTTTCTCATCTTGCCCCCTCGAAGATTGAATTGCACTAACCACCCTCTATAATAATATTCTCAAATAGGTGCAAACGGGTCGAGGAGCCCAATGTGTGGCAAATTCGGGCATCCACACCTTTTGACGTGCCCAATTTTTAAATGATCACTTTTAGTCAATTTTCATTTTTTTGAGTGGATTTTGGTCGGAATTTACCGGACCCACATGACGTGCCCAATTTTAAAGGGTAAGAATGACAAACCGCCTTGACTAGAAATGTGAGGGGACTAACAGTGCAAAGCTTTAGTTAAACATTCATCAAAAAATACATAACTAACCCACCATTGCTAACAATTCATCTTAGGACAATGCTTTAGTAACGACAGTTATGGTAACGAAACAGTTTTTTTACCTGATATAATAAGTGGTTGCACTTTTAGCGACCATTTGATTACTTTATAGGCCTATCCACCTAAATAGGATAACACTTAAAAATAAGAAAGTAAAATTTTCATCTAAAATAGTAAGTTAATAGTAATAAATTAGTAAGTTTCATACTTCAAAAGGTAAATTGGAATAAATATTAAACTTATTTTTTAAATAAATAAAGTACTACTTTATATCCCAAACTTACTTTTTAGAGAGTAAGTTTAAATCAAATAATAGTAAGTTTTTATACATAAATAGTAATTCTTACTGATAACATGGTAAATTTGATTAATAATCAAAACTTACTGATTTATGGAACACGTATACTATTTTACTTTAAAACATATTTCAAACTAGTATTAGAAAATTTATTTGAATTAACGATAAGATGTTTTATTAATGATTAATTCTTAGTACCTTAGCTAGTAAGTACACGTAATATACCTGCATAATACATGATTATAGGTATAATTTAAAAAAATTTATTTATATATTTTAAAATATTATGAAAAATAGTTTGACTTTTCACATAATCTCGTAAAATATGTAATAAAACTTTTGTCATATTATAAGTTTTTAATCATTTTCAATTTTTGAAAAGTTTGAAAGTTTGGATAACAATAACAACAAATCTTCCTAGTTATATATAGAATATTACTTGTTTATATATCACAATTTTTATAATTTAACACATATGAATATAATAAGATGATAAAGTTTTAATAAATTTTACATCTGGGACACAAGAAATAATAAGAGTTAAAGCCAAAACAAAATGAGAAATAATATAATAATAAAAATGACAAAATTAGTATAACAATTAATATAAGAAAATCAGTATGATCTAGAATTTTTCCTTGGGAGATTGTTCATAAAAATGGGATCCAACAATTATAAATAAAATCACATGCATATATAATGTATTTTATTATTTAAATTAAATTTAGTTCACATATAAAATGGTCCTAAAATAATTAGTACACTATGATACAATGTTATTTTAACAACAAGAGTTTTTTTACTAAAAGTCTCAAATATCCATGACATACGTATGAGGGATATTTTACCATATTTGTATCTCACATCTAATCATTAAAGTTAACATGAGGAAAAATATTTTTGACAATAGAATTGTTTTGAATTTAGTCAACAAGTTGAGATTTTTTAAACAATAAAAGTGAAATATTTTGGGAACTTAGTTGTTTATTTTCCCATAATTAAAAATTGCTATATTTTAGCAATTGTTGCCATTGACTTTCATTCTGTAGACTAATTTTTATCAATTCAAAATTAGTTTTATTAACAATAATTGAAATTCCATTAATCTGAGGATTGGCATTCTATTGCTATTGTTTTATGAGTAAATCTTTCCTACACTGACGGTGTATACACTATCATCGTTAGATTCATGACATGTGTGCAAAAGTTGAATTTCAAATTCAAATTTTGCATAGTTATCAATCATCCAACACTGATAGTGTATACACTGTCAGTGTAGGAAAGATTAATCCTTATTTTATGTGTAAATATTTAACCTAAGTAATAAAATAAATAATAGCTACTTAAAAAAAGGGAAATTGGTGCTCAATTGATTGTGGTGTAAAATATTAGTATACAATTAAGTAGAGTTTGAAATGGAATTAAATTTATTTAGTATTTTACTGCTAACAACTTTGACCCCATTTAATGCTTAAAGAAAAAAAAAGAGACATAGAGATTGAGATTGGTTCCTTAGTGTGAAAAAGGAAAATTCCTCTAAAGTCATGCTGCGTGAAATTCTGGATGCATATGAAATTAGAAATGTGATAACTTTGCAATTCATTCTCATTCATAATGAATTTCTTTGACTCTACATAGAATTGCAATTTTTTTCGTTCAGCATGAAAATATTTTTTTTTGTCATATTGATGGCTTTGCTTTTAAGATTATCTACATGTCGGTGGTTAGTATTATTGACAAGGTTAGAGGTCATGGAAAATGTTACTAATTTTAGGAGAAATTATGTATTGTAAAAATGATTTAACAATTTTCTACTAAGCATAACTACTGCATACAAAAAGAAAAGATATTTGATTTTTATTTTGCTTTGATTAGAAGAACTTGTACTACTAATAAAGGAAATTTCAATTCAACAATCAACGTGCACATGATTACAGTAATTTTTTAGTCAATTAGACTAATATATGCCATAAAGTAGTCAGATTTAGTCATTTGTGAATTGATAATTTTAACAGTTTACATAACATTCATCTATAAAAAAATGATGATTATTATAAAATGATATTTTATAATAATTTACATACCATTTGCCAATAAAAAAAGAGTTTGATAGAAAAAATATGGATACAAATCCATAATGTAAATGATACAAAGTACGTTTGAAAGTCACAGAACTTAATATATGGGTAATTTTACTATAATTTTCAAAGATTATGCTACGTTAATACAACTTTAATTTTTATACTTGTGACCTAGAAAATAAATTTATTAAAATTTTAACATTTTATTAAAAATTTTATTAAATTCATAGGCATTAATATATGAAATTTGTGATGTATAAGTAAGTGCTATTTTATATACAACTCAAAAGATATGTTGTTATTATAATACAACTTTAACTTTTATACTTGTGACCTAGTAAATAAATTTATTAAAACTTTACCATTTTATTATATTCATAGGTATTAATATATGGAAATTGGGATGTATAGATGAGTGCAATTCTATATATAATTCGAAAGATTTGTTGTTATTGTCATCCAAACTTTCTAACCTTTCACAAATTAAAAAATAATTCAAAATTTATAATATGACAAATTATTCTTACATATTTTATAAGGTCATGCGCAAAAGATATAGTTTTCGTAGTATATTTAAAATGCTTAAAACATATAACAATTACAAAATGATACGTACAATTGTGTATCATACATTTACATTACGAGTAATTACTAACTATAATACTAAGTTTCAATCATTAATAAAAAATCTTAACATTATTTCAAATAAACTTCCTAATACTTGTTTCATATAAGTTTTTTTAAGTAAAATAGTAAATTTATACCGCAAACTAGTAGGTTTTGACCACTAACCAAATTTACTATTCTATCAACAATATTTACTATTAATATATAAAAACTTACTATTACTTGAACCAAACTTACTCTCCAAAAAGTAAGTTTCATATATAGAGTAGTAATTTACCTCAAAAAAAAAAAGTAAGTTCCATATTTATTCCAATTTACTTTTTGAGACATAAAAGTTATTAATTTATCGAGTTAACTTACTATTTTTTATGTAAAACTGATTAACCAAATTTTTAGGTACTATCTTATTTAAGTGACCAGTCTAATAGGTAATCAAATGGTCACTAAAAGTGTTTTTACCTGTTATATCAGGTAAAAACAGTTTCGTTACCATAACGATCGTTACCTTAGACTTTTCCTTCATCTTAACCCAAAACAACCTGATTGCAAAGTCACAACAGCTAATTGAAATTCATCTGAAGGAAATTGCTGATTGAAATGCTAGATATGTTGGGTTCAGAGACAATGATGCAACAAGTGCAGAATGACTCGACCACCTTGGCTTGATCGACGGATGCAATTTCCACAATTTCTCCATTTTTCAGCATTAGGGCCATCCTGACTTTAATGGAGAATGGGTTCTTCTTGGCTTCAGTAATTGCACCACCGCTATAGACCGTGACAGCACCATCGTCGCCCCATCGTTGCAAGTGTTCGTAAAATGCCTGAACGAAATGTCCAACTGGCTATAAATTGTATGTGATTAGGATGCGAAATATGGAAAAAAAAAAAGGATAACATGAGCGAAGAGCTTAAGAAGAGGATTAGGGGAAATCAGAAATAGGGCAGAGTATGGTTCAAGAAGCTTCTGGCAGGTTACTGTGTTAGGCTTGTAGGAAGAAAATTAGACAATTAGAAACTTCCGATGTCTCCAAACTCCAAGGAATATGCTTTACTATGCTTGCCTGCTTCACGTACCATCTATGGATTACCTTTCTTTTTTTTTTTTTTTTTTGCATTTATCTTTTATTGTACATTTGCTTGTTATTTTCTTGTCTTCAATCACCAATTTCCTTCGAATGAATTACAATCAACTAAGAGGAGTTTGCAATTAGGGTTCATTTTGGGTTGAGACGAATTGGAGATTTGCAGGTAATGGTGGAATATTTTTTGTATTTAGATTAATATTTAACTAAAGGTTTGCACCATTAGTCCCTCAAATTTCTGATCAATTTGATTTGTCATTTTTACCCATTAAAAATTGGACACGTCATGTGAGCACTGTAAGTTTCGGCTAAAATCCGCTTGGAAAAGTGTAAAGGGATCAAAGGTAATCATTTTTTGTTTGTTAGAGATTAAAACTGATCATTTTCATTTTAAGGGACTAAATTTTCATATCAACAATATGTGAGGGAAGATTTGGTGCAATTCTCTCTCATTAGCTGAATTTTAGTTACCTAATCCTTAAAGAATTAAATTTGGTCAACTGAGTACTTAGTTGAGATGGATTTTCAAGGAAGGAAGAAGACAGCCAAAGAAAAAAGAATAACTTGGTTGTTTTTCAAGAATACTTTGACATGCTTTGTGATAATCTGGCATTATCTTTTCTCTTGATTCTTTCAAATAAAGAAAGTTTACTGATGAAATTTTTTCTTGTGAAGCACGCCTTATTTTCTAGGACATCAAAGTTTTGGTTTATCATGTCTATAGAACATCTGAAATGTAAAGTTTGTAATGTCCATCTTCGTTTATGATGATAATATGCTTCATCAGGTTATTGTTCCTAGGGCCAGATTCTTCAAATCATCAACTTTTCTTTGTAAAGTTTTCCTTTCTCCTCTGGTTAGCCATATCTTGAACATTTGAAAAATGCATAATTTGCTTTCAGTGACAAGTGACTTTACTATAGCAATTATTTGAACTCCTGGAAGTTCAAAGTTCTGAATTATCAATGCGTCTTTCTTCCCCTGCTGCTGTGCTAACTAATTCACGAGTTGCAGTAATTTATTTGTCGACTTGACTCCAGAACTTTTTCCTGCCAGGATCTTGACCTCACCCTGCTCCCTTTCTTATTAGCCCTTCCCCAAGTCCAGGATTTGTCTTTCAGTTGCACCTGATCTTGATTTTTATTATCATCCTCTCTTTTGACAACCTTTTCCAAGGATGTAGTCTGGCTACTAATGGTATCTAATTTGACTAAAGATAAAAATTAAGTGATGTGAACTTGATACACACCGAATAGCTCAGCTCAGTGCTTTTAGTAGCTAAGAGAAGGAGGCAAGAGGGACGACAACTCAAGCAGTCAAGCCACAGTTAGCCTATAACAACGGCTTTGTTGGTCGCAAGCTTGAATCAGTAGTATTACTTTACCCTGAAGTATGCCAAGCATTTATTTAACCCTTTGTAACGCAACTTTGCAGCATTCATGGGCAGTGTGCAATCATAATGTTTGATGTTACAGCACGTTTGACCTTCAAGAATGTGGCAACATGGCATCGTGAGGTGAACCATGTTTCATATTACTATACACTTCAACTTATTTCTGCAGTCCATTATTTTTCGGCCAACATTCTCCTGTCAATTACAGGGTGTGCGAAAATATACCAACTGTTTTGTGTGGGAATAAAGTGGATGTCAAGAATAGGCAGGTAGAAGCAAAGCAGGTCACATTCCATAGAAAGAAGAATATTCAGTACTACTACAACTACGAGAAGCCGTTTCTCTATCTTCTTCGGAAACTTGCTGGGTACTGATTACAGAAGCATCTCCTGTAACTTTACTGTATATGGCTCTTGTTCCTACCTTTAAAATTTTTTACGGCAGCTGTCAAATTGTTTTATTCTACAGGGACCCTAACCTTAACTTTGCAGAGCAGCCTGCTCTTGTACCACCTGAAGTTCGTTTTGACATGGTTGCACAGCAGCAGTAAGTGATCATACAGAATTAAAAGCAGAGAATAGTTAACTCAAGTCTCAGACATCCCTCGCAATTTTGAATATTTTAGTGAAGTTGTACTGGGTTTAGGCTTTGTATCAACATTACGTCTCGGTTCTGGTATATGTTCTGAAGCTTAGGTAAGCCCAAGTTGCTGTTAATGCAGGATGGCGCTCAATGGGCTAAAGATTTGCAAAACAAGGCCCATCAAAACAAGATCCTTGTTGGCATTAATTGTTCAAGTAGGTCCCTAATATATATATAATAGCATTATGATTTATGTATGGAATATAGTTTTGGATCGAATCACTGTCGTTCCACAGTATAGACCTCCTGGGAAATTGTCATTTTCTCAAAGATAGCAGAGATAAGTTTGAGAAAACGTCCAAAGGCTAAAAAAACCCTCCATTTTCGTTTACTCTAGGGGTGTAATAATGGCTGAAAAACGACACGGTATAAAGTTGGATGTTAGCATGAGAAGTTGACATACACCTTTTACTTTTTCCTCAATAATTCTGTACAAACCACATGAGAAGCACTTCTCGACCGTCCATCAAAAAACAACTCATTACATAGCTAGGGGATATCAACTTAGGCTCAGCATAACCAACCTACAAACCACCAAACCATCCTAAAAGCCATGAGACACCAATATTCCGGATAAAAAAGACTTGGCACTTTCAGTGGTATGGAGATTAGAATGTCAACTCATGCAAGTTGGCCAAAGCCAACGCAACACAAATAAATACCAAGAAAACTTATATCAAGGTGGAATCATTATTATGTTTGGAAAATGCTCACACATACTCATGGTCATAGATGGAAGAAAAAAAAAAAAAGACTCAATCCCATCCGTTACCTTAGTCCAAAAGAATTGGATTGTTGAGCACACATATGGCATGGGAGCTACAAAAACATGGGCTGGAAAAGGAGACTACTCTACGCATGCGATGAACCAAAACCTCGATTTACATTAGACAAAGATAAAGTTGTTAGATATTTAAATTATCGATGATTAGGTTCTTGATTGAATATAGCAAAGATCAGCTGCCATTATTTTATGCAACTGGCAACGGGATTTCCCTTTTTTGCTGAACCATTTGTACTTTGTGCATGGTCTTCAATGGAGAGACATAAGTTATCTAATCCAGGATGGTTTAAAAGAGACAAAACATTTGTGCAGCAAGTGCTTGGATTTGTTAACTCTGCTTGGAAATTGGTAAAAAGTTCTTGTAGTTGGTGATAAAATAGCCGTGATTTCATTCTTTTAAACTTTTAAAAAGGTGTTAAAACTTAAAAGAAGCCCCCCCAAGAATTACGATGGCAAAAATGTTATGGATAACCTGTGACAGCATGATTGTAAAGCTGTTACCCATGGCCGGTGCTTGCAGACAAACCTAACCCCGTTCCCACTTTTAGATTTCTGGACTACATACATCTTGAGACTACTGATGACCTAGCTTTATCCAAAGGCAAAAGCGTCCCTGTCATCATAGTATCTTTGTTACTAGTTCATTAGCTAGACATAACTGCATTAATTTTATGAGATTAGCTGAGATTTTTAGTACCTTAAACCAATAGCTATAACTACAGGCAATATCATAGAAGTTGGATTTAGGGCCTACAGGATTGTAGTTATGCAAGCATTCTCAAGTCTTAACGGTGTATAGTAGTTTCTTTGTGAATGGTGGATTTTAATTGGAGTACTTCACTTCCTATGCTAACTGTCAAGTTTCTGGCTTAATTTACTGATTTTGTTTAGACGCAAATCACAACTGTTGAATTTTGGAACATGTTTTTGGCAATGTTTTTAAACCCGGACCGGAGAGTAAACCGAAAAACCTTTCGGTTCACGGTTCGACCGATTCAACTCCGGTTCAAAGGTTTAATAATTTTTTATTCATTTTAGTATTAAAAATTTTGAATAAAACTAAAATATTTATTTTAGAAAATAAATACTTAATAAAAACCGATTGAACCTCCGACTTTTATTGATTTTTACGGGTTCAACCTGTTCTTGACCGAATTTGACCGATTCAATTAATTCTTTGGCTTTGTAATTGAACCGAACCGGAGACATGATCGGTTCGCGATTCAACTGGTCGAACCGACAGGTCCGATCCAATTTTCAAAACATTGGTTTTTTGGTGCCAAATCCTCGTCTCAAGCAGATGTGAACATAATGACATCAAAGAATGTCGAAAGAGGAAAGCAAAGAAGAAAAAGGAAATCAATCATAAAAATGGCAACATGTGTTTGGAGAGAGTACTTCACACATTCATGTCATCTCAATGTATAATGCAAACGAACATGCATGATACACTAACTTGCATTCTTTTAGAGAAAACATGAAGGCAAGAAATATCTGCTTCATTGACAAACAAAGACAGTACTTGGCACCGGTTCTTCCCTCCACACAGAAGAAATCAAACAAAATGATGATTGAAAGCAAAGCGTGATCCCGTCATTTCTAATCGAATTGTCTTTGCTGAAAATAGGTATGCCAGGGATGTGGGGCACTGATTTTTTGAGGACGGACTGATCCATAAGTCCAAAAGCAAGAGTAGATGTCAACTGTAGGATACATGATGGATACAGCGAGTTCGTATAATTTGTAGGGAGATATAATTAATAGGTCCACTTCGATTAAAAAAAAATTTCTTTTTGTTGTATGTTTCTAATCTTTTTCTAGTTCATTCAAGGATATCCTCTTGAAGCCATTTTAGACACATTTATCAGAACAACTACCACGGAGATGCACATGATTATTGGCTGTGGGGAAACGTCTAATTTGTCTTGGCGTTGGAATATGGACAAGGCATCCCAGAATTACTCCCACTAATTGAAATAGGGTAATATAATGTGGTAACACATAATTTCGATAAAATACTTTTCTTCTCGTGCCATAGATTCTAAAGTTGGAGCAATTTTATCATTGTCATCTTATCGTCTTCGGGAGTCCAAAAGAAACAAAGACCGGTGCACTAACATCTGTACTTTAATTATACAATAACTGATTAAATTAGAATTAATCTTGTATACACTGATTACGTATATATTAATGGATATAGATGTACGATACATGTGTAAAAATTAGAATTCAAATTTAAATCAAAATTAAGCGGCATGTATTCGTGCCTCTATTAGTGTACACATGTATGTAAAATTAGATCCGGAAAAGGTCTCCTCGTTTACACCATGTATAGTGTGGCTCACACGTAACAGTAGTATTCATTCTAGAAAAAAGAAAAAGACGTGGGTCACATTGAAGAATAGCAATTAGCAAATTAATTACACGAACTAATTAAGTAAGATGAAGGTCATCATGGAATCACGCTTTGGTAGGGGTAGGGCGCCGCATTAATCAGAACCTTTCGACAAATTTGTAGGAATCGCAGGTAATTAAAACAATTAGGGATTATTATTATGGTCATGGAATCACTAGTCTACTTTTCTGACATTGGATTATCCCACTTTCAGGTGCAACTTGTACGTTTTATGTCACATTAAATTGGCTTTTTTTTTTTTTTTTTGTGATTTGGCGACTATTCTTTTACACGTGTCTTGTAATATCACAAGCAGGTGTTGGGCTGATAAATACTCCTAAATTATTTTTTTTTTTTTTACAATATATTGTGGGATGGGCAATTACTGAAGAAGAAAGTGTTACTAGATAAAAAAAGGTGGAAGAAGTGGAACCTTTAGGAGTAAACGACACAGTTTTTGCGGTTGACTGCGTCCTCCCACCGCGCAGCCTGAGGTGAGAAAATTTGGTGGGCGTGACACGCTGTTGTCATCTTGTTTTCCATCGCCACCAAACCACAAACCCCAAAAAGCCGAAAATTAAACCGACCTAATTAAAAAGAAAAGAGCTGTTCAATCCCAAGACAAGAAAAGAAATGTATTATAAATTAAAGGATTTGTTTCTTGAATTCTTTGAAGTGCTATATATATATATATAGACAACATGTAACAAGAAAAAAAGAAAACAACTCTTTTAGCAGCTTTTCTTTGATCCGTTATTTGGGATCAAAAGTGTTTGATGTTGTCCAGCATGCATCATTCGGTAACAATAATAATAATAATGATAGGAGTATTAAGTTTCTGGGGTGTCAACTACAAAACTACCATATGACTTTTATGATCCAGCTGGGAACTATTCGAAGATGAGAGACAGAAAACCAATTCATAAGTTGAAAATGTCAAACATTTGAGAAACACGTTAAACAATCAAAATCTTGGGTGGGATTTCCTCGAGGGCATCGAGAAATTTCCTTGATCTCCTGTAGCGCATCTGAAGCAGCCTTTTACTATATATCAGTTTTCAACATGTTTATGATGGTGGCTTCGGGTTCTTGATCTCAATCGGCTTTGAATTCTTTCCGCTTATATATCCCTTGGCTAGCATTCGTACATTTTTGTGTTTTGTCGCCCCTCATTCTACGTTAAAAATATGTCAACTTCATTCCAACTCATGCCAAAAATGTTATTGTTCGTTTGTTTGGTAAAATCTTAGCAAATCCCCCAAGCCGGGATTCCTGATGACCGAATATTCAATATTACGTTGTTTCCTTTGTGACTCTGGCGTCTAAGATAATTGGTGTTGCCATTTGTATTATATACGTTCGTGCATACTACATATTAGTATGGTCCTCTTTGAGTGAATTTTTCTTACTTTCTTGATTGAGCACACATCTTAATTACACATAACTTAATTACTATATAAACAAAAAGCATACATCTTAATTACACGTTTATGTTTATTGCACACCTCACATTTACATTTTTCTATGATACCTACCTTTATTTTTATACAAAAAAAAAGAGAAAAAAAAATTAATGCTTGAGACCCTCCTAAACCAAATCCGTAATCAATTAGTTGATTGTTGAACGCTTAGTCTTTACAACCATAAACTTGCTAAAACTGCAATAAATCATGCCACCCCAGCTCCAGCTGCCAAGTGGAATACATATGCAAGCAATATCCATCATGCT